CATTAAATTAAAATATATATAGGACTTTGTACCAGGGTCCCTGTAACTGGAACAAGTTCATAGCTGTATCTAAGGGCTGCAATGATGGTGGGACCAGAAAGCCACTTAGAGTGACACATTGTCAATTTTACTTTCTTTGTCAAATGTTACGAACAGCTTAATAGGGAAGTGTGGATCATTTTAAAACATTCTATGCTGTTTTACTCCCCATATTAGAAAAGAAATATTCAAACTCATCAGGTTTTTTTTATAATTTTTGGTTTCTTAAACATCTGTTTAAAAAATTTATATCAATCTGGTATAATCCAAAATGACATCTTGTGCTTCATGATGTCGTCACAGAAATGCCACAAATTATATGGCATGCATAATTTGACTTATCACATCATGAAACCATCTGCCATTTGGTGCCATTTGTTCCCCCCACTTGCCCCCCTCCCCCCATGAAGAAACGGAGAAGGAAGAGAACACAATGGGGAAGAAAATGAACAAGAGCAGGTGTGACAACCCACAGTCCATGAGCTGCAGGGAGTCTCCAGCAAAATTTCAGTGATCCTGGAAGTATCCAAGTGTGGTCTACCATATTCCCTTACCGCTTCTCTGTATTTCTTTAGTAACTTGCATTGACAAAAGCAGAGCGGTGATCTTTTTACTGAAACCTCTGCAATTCAGAACCTACAGTATCCTCAGTTCCACTAGCCAAAACTCTAGAGTAAATGTGTCTACTAAGGTCCAGTGTTATTTGGATTTCGAAGAAAACCCTTGGACCACGTGCAAGCATAGCAACTCTCTGGTATCCAGCCCTCTTTTTTTCAAATTCCCACATGAGCCTTATAAAAAAGCATGTCTGCTTTAAAAGTTGCGTCAACTTTAATGAATCATTTCCTCAACACAGTTGATTTGTCTTCCCATTTGTCTATATTTCACATTATTCTAACTTTCTGACCCAAATAAGATGTGGGAAGAGAAACAGGCAAAGCAGCAGCACCAAGATTGGTAGATGTGTTGGAGAGGTTACTGAAAACCCCCCCGAGCTAAATGACATAACTTCCTGAACTATTTCTATACTTGTGATAAATTCAGAAGGCTTAATATGACAATGGCTGCATGCTGGCAAGGTAAGGTGTTACTTTTCTTTTAGCAAAAAAAAAAAAATGTTTTATAACTGATGCTCTGATGAAACACTGAAATGGATGAGAAATGGAGGTGTGGAGGAGCCTACTGCATGATTATATTAGTTGTGATGTGTTGGTTCTTTCCTGGCTGCTATTTTTGTGATTTAAACAATTGTTATATTGTTTTTAGGTACTGTTAGCAGCCCAGAGTCATGTATTTTGAGATGGCTGGCCATATACATTTAATAAATAAATGAATAATAAAATCATTTTTTCCATCCCTCCACTGCAAATACATTACAAAAAGCATCACTGGCTATAATGTTTCTAACCTTCTCATTCTCATTTCTACTAATCTTATCTACTAATTTTTGCTAAGATTTCAACAGTCCTATTTGTTGGCTGGTGTGGGTCTTCCGGGCTGTGTGGCCGTATTCCAGAACACGGCCACACAGCCTGGAAGACCCATACCAGCCATCGTATTCCGGCCGTGAAAGCCTTCGACAATACAGTGCTATTTGTCTTTAAGAAGTCAGGTGTTTGCATACCTTGCAATGGTTTTTTTAACCGATTTTACAAAACATCATATACTGCTTTGGTTTTGTTTTTTAATTGTATCTGCTAAATGGTGTACTTAAATACATTTAAGTTCTGGACACAATGGTCTCACCATGAGGTAGAGGCTCCTTGGATCATCCTGAGAACCCTCTGACTTATTTCAGGGATGGTTAGATTTCTTCTGGGATTAGTTTGAGCACATTTTATCTTTGGTAATACTAGATTTGAGCTCATAGTGATTTCTCACAAAATTCCACTCTTGATTCCCTGCCCCCATTTTCTTGATTGAAGCATTCTTACTTTTGGACAACTGGGAGTTGCAATATCCATTGTATTTACTAGGTATTTCTTTTCAGAAAATATTGAAAATGTGTCTACTTATTTATGGTGTGGCTGATACATCTCCAATTTCTAAATGACCCAAAAAGATACTTTTTTCAGTTTCTTCCTGTTGTAAATGCTACTAATGACTAATTCTGGACAAGAAAACTGACTAAAATGTTCTGAATTTTTATGTGTTAAGAGGATGGAAAGAATTAACCATGTAGGCAAAGGTACGTATGGTGAAATGTCCGTTTGTTTTTTTTAAAGAAGATGGAAACCCAGCCATGATTAGCCATCATGACTGAGACATTAATAGTCTGAACCTCTATGAATTCGAACTTACAGTTTTAAAAGAATGTTAGGTGATGGTGTTCCCTACTTACGTCTGTCTTCCTTACACAATGAAAAGCCCCAAATATGATTACTTTTTTACACAGAACATTTTTTTCAACCTGCTTATAATTTTAATGTTTAAGGTGTGAGGTTTTTAGACTTTGAAGAATGCTTGGTTAACCATTCTTTCGCTGAAGGGATCAGACAACCCTTCTAGGAAAAAGCATATCTTTGCAGCAGTTATAATACATAAAGCTAGTTCAGTGTACATTGAGGGGATATATGATTTGGTAAAGTTCAATAATATAATAAATTGAAATGGGAATTCAACTTTTAAGGTTTGTTTCATTCTGGAATGAATCATTTTCCAGAACTATTGAACTTTATGCATTGCCATCAAATATGTAAGAATGATCCAACCTGCTCATTATATTTTCAGTAATTTTTTGAAAATGAATTGTCCATTTTAGCAATCAGAACTGGAGTAATACACCAATGATAAAATACCACATACCAATTTTCTTTAAGTATAATGTTCAGAGTGAATTTAATGTTCTTCTTCCATTGAAATTATCCATTGTATCTCTATTACTGCATTCAGATTCTGCATCCCTTTAATAATACAATCATTGACCTGTTCAGATTCTAAGTCACACTTCACCAACAGTCTATAAGTAAGGCCCAATAAATGTTATGAGTCATGTCATAAAATGCTCAAAAATTCAGTCAATAATTTCATCTGTCCTATTCTGCATCTTCTATCACTCTATAGGATTAATTGTGAGATGCAATGACTGGACTGACACAGAATATTCCCAATGTAGTCACATCTGCCAGTTTTATTTTAAAAATGGATAGAAAATAGGCTTACATAGAATATATATATCATCCTTGGTCAAATTCAAGCATGGAGTGAGTCTGTTGATTGGATAATTCCTGTTATGTCCACAAGAAATTCACTCCACTGTTTTCCTGACTAATTTTGCATGTTTAAAAAATCCTGTATTTATTAGATAAAGCAACTTATTATTACATACAAATATCAACAACTTTCCCACCTAAAGCAAGAGGGGAGGAACAAGTGTAAGAGGTAAATAATTTGATTCACAAATGGGCATTTCCCTTATTTCCATTTCAAGATTGAGCTTACTCCATGATTGTGAGATATATTGCAATCTTTTTCTATTACATTACTTAACACAGTAATAACATGTTTCATACTGGTTGCAGTAGAATAGCCTTCTTTAGTCTATTTAGACTATGATTCCCCTCATTGAACTTGGCCAAATAATGGGCATTGCAGTCTAATTCATCAGGAGGTTGCCAGATTGGGTTATATGGTTTGAAACCTTTCTCGACCTGAGAAGTTCAACAGCTAGGAGCCTCATGTTGCAATAATTTTTGCCTCATCAACTTCTCTGCTAGTTTTGCAAGAGGCCTCAACAAGCCTATGTAATCTCCACCCTGTTGACTTCCTTCTGCCTTTCATATTTCCCACCCCACTTTGTAAAAGATCATAATACCAGTTCAAAGAAAAGAAAATGCCAGTATGACACCTTACAACAACCTTCTTCAACCTGGTGCCCTTTAGTTCTATTGGCATTCAGCTTCCAGAATCCTTACGTCCAGGATATTTGGAGAACACCAGGTTGGGGAAGTCCCAGTGGCCACAAGATTTTATAGGCTAGGGAGTCTTCTCCAACATATGTGTCCAACTATATATTATCTTCACTTCAACTTAGTACATTGATAAAGTGGTCTCTCCTTCAGGTTCTGTGGCCTTCCAGATGCTGCTGAACTGCAGGTTCCAATATCCTTCCCCCACTGGCTATGGTGGCTAAAATTCATCAACATCTGGAGGGTTACAGGTTCCCAATTTGTTGAGTAGACCATGAAACCTTAGGTCCAAATACTATGACTCTTTAAGACATCAATTAGATTCCTTGTTGAAGTTGTTATAACAGGCTTAGCTGGAATTAATTTTAGTCAGAGGTTTTCAAATTTTCTACCTCCAGGGAAAGTACCTCTATCCTGTTTATTTTATGCACTGATTGGCCTCACGAGGAATTCTTGCATATCTGACAGATTATCCTTGTGCATTAGAAAGAGCTGTAACTCAGGAGCCCTGGGGCCTCTTTACTGGCTCAGCCTGGTGCCTGACTTCTGGCTTTAGCCCTTCCACACACATGCAGGATTGTTTTAGAGGGTATTGTTGAAAAGGGATTCCCAGTTTTTGATCTAGGTTCCAGGACAGGATGGATAACCAGTAGATTGCTTATGTTTTCCAGCTCCATTCCAGACAGGTGCAGTTTCATTGTTTTCAAGTCCCTACCCCCAAAGTTTAAAACAGATATATTACACATCTGCAAAGCTTGACTTACCCATTTTGTCTTTTTATCCTCACCCCAAACAGAAACAAGAACTGAAAGTTTCATCCTTGTTCATGGTGTAGTTGTTGATGGAGTCAGTGTGAAATCTGCCCATTGGCCATTTTAGGCTGCAGAAGGGACACTCCCTTCCAGCCAATGCCCTCCATAGTCATTTTGGTTTAAGCTAGCAGGGGAAAAAAGACACTTGGTTCTACATTAGGAAAAGAGATACCAGTAACTTCCTCTAAGTTAGTTCCTAAGGCTGAAAGAGGATGAGCAGGTGCTTGGAACGTTGGGTTTAGTGGCTTGTCAAGTGGCCCATCTAACAAGTGGCTGGCATGGAAATGGTCTGCACCTGCAACCTGTCAGCTGGGGTATGTCTGGACACAGGTTTAATCCTTTTCTGAAGAAGTGTTAAGCCTGTATCAAAAACAGCCCAGCTGTCAGGTTGCAGGCACAGAGGAGCTCAGGGTGAATTAAGAGGGAACTGTCAGTGGTAAACAAGCTCCATTCTCCACTTGAGCTGGGACAGGATAGCAGTGCTGGCTGGTGGGAGGAGAAAGCAACTTGAGGGAATCTCCCTATTGCTTTCCATGATTTGTTCCACATCGTTAAAGTTTTAAAGCAAGCACCACTTTCTGGCCACCTTACTGAGGCAGAATGGGGCTTGGTGATTGGGGCAGCACATGTTATGGCTCAAGGAGTAGAGGAGATACTTTAATGCAGCCATTTAGTTGTGTGGATAGAGTCCTGAATCAGAAGAAAGGATACATTCGCATCAAGATTTGCAAGCACTGATGTTCCTATAGGGCAGTGTTTCTCAACCCTGGCAACTTTAGGATGGGTGGGCTTCAAACTTCCAGACTGCATGCTGACTGGGGAATTCTGGGAATTGAAGTCCACCCATCTTAAAGTTGCCAAGGTTAAGAAACACTGCTCTAGGGTAGTGACATATTTCCTTTAGAAGAAGGCAAATGATGATAATGATGATGATACATGACAGGAACTTCAATTGTGTGGTCACAACAGCCATCTTGATCTTTTTTGCCCCCCCCCCCCCCCCGT